ACGCAAATACCCGAACAAAGATTTGCTTTCCAAGTTCGGTAAGAGCAGAGATTTAAGACTAACCGACGCCATGAGGAGAGACTTGGTTCGCGCTTTGGTGAAGAAAACTGCTGGCCAGAAGAATACTGGTAAAAAATCTGCCGACTTGGGGTCAAGTGCGACTTCGGCGACTGTTCTGGAAGGCCCGAAGTCTTTACCAGGAGTGACGGCTACCGATGTGCCGGCGGTTGAGGATGTTGCGACTGTTAATCAAGCTGATATCGAGCCGATAGTGATGGGGACCGAGTTGGTCTCAACCGAGGTCGTGCGTGCTGAAGTGCAGGAACCCGAAAAATCACCTTCCTCTCCGAAGTCCAAGGAGTTAGAGCAACCGGAGAAAAGGAAGAAGAGAAAATTAGTGAAGATGTCCGACGTCGGTGCTTCCTCTGGTGCGGAGAAGAGGACCAAGAAAAAACATGACTCCGGTCGTAAAACTGGTGAAAGGGGTTACGATGAGTCCCCCTTGTTCGAGAAATCATTCTTAACAATCGATGAAGAACGGGCTGCGAATGTTAAAGTGCCTGAGGGGGTCGTGGAGGATTGGTTCAGTACTTTCTTGTCGGTGAGGTCTCCGCACATGTCGTCTAGGATCGAGATGCCAGAATGTGCCAAAGAGGCGGCTCGTGTTCCTTTGATGGTGTGGGACCCCAAGTCCGAAGTGGGGGTCTCTTCTTTATCGAGCGCAGACAAGCTGAGCTACGCCAAGGCGTGCGTTGGCAGAGCTTTGGTCAGTTTGGTGGCGGCAGAGGATGATCATCGCCGGATTGCATCGCAATTGGAGGGAAAAAAGGACATCATAGCTACTCGCGAGGCGGTGATTGTCCAGTTGAAGGAGGAGTCCACAAAGATGGAGGCCGATTTGAAGGGCCAGATAGCTGAGAAGACTGCCGAATTGGAGAAGGCAAAGGCGGATACGTCGGCATTGTCCGAGGAGAAGAAGACCTTTGAGGCCGAGGTGGCCGATCTTAGAGCACGTCTTGCCGTGGTGGAACAACATTTCAAGATTTCTGAAGCTAAACTGGCGGAAACTGAGCGGGCCTTATCGGAGGAGAAAGCTAATCATGAAGCAGCTCGGAGAGAATGTGTCGAGATTCGCGAACTTGTAAGTCGGCAACATGACGCTCATCAAGCTGACGTCGCCAAGATTGAAAAGGAGAAATCATCCTATGGCGAGTTCATGTACGAGAACGGCTTTCAGGCCGGGAA